AATTAGTTTGCAAATGAGTGTATATTCGCCGATCTCATAGGATATTACTCGTGTGCGCTCATCTTTACACAGAACAGCCTAGCGAACAGATTACGCCTAGTTCTATGTGTGGAATTAGTTCACGAGACTTTGAATAATTCCACGATATTCTGAATCCATTCTTTCTTGGCTTGTTGATCCTGTTCCCCCTTAGCCTACCTGACAGGCAAAAAAATGACCTGCCTATACAGCTGTGTTTCACCAACTTCGAGTTTATCTTAGCATTTCGCTCTCTCAGAGGACAGTGTGGATACGTTTTTCGGGTAAATCGGATGTGGGTCCTCACTTTTTTCCTCACCCATCTACCTCCTTCGTTTTTCTACTATAGGCATCCCGGGAACGCGGACCTTCTTGGGCTTCGAAAAAGGAACGCATTGACGTCGCGCTAATTGTTATTTGGAGAGTAAGTCCACCATTTGTTTCGTGTCTACGCATTCGAGTGTCAGCCGTTTGTGTGGCCTGGTCGCGGTGCTAAATACAAAACAGCCATACGAAGAGCGTGGAGCTCTCACACCTTGGAGGAGTGTGAGCACGGTATGGTGTTTGCCACAGGGGGCAAGCCTCTCCATTTTTTGTTGGATGCTTCTCATCCATGAATAACCGCAGGTTTGGAAACACCGGCTACTTAAGCCGCACAAACTGACTCATCCATGAATAACCGCAGGTTTGGAAAGACCGGCTACTTAAGCCTCACAAACTGATGCCTTAACGATTGTACCAGCACATCATCCAGTGCCTTCCAAGGACTTTTAAAATTCAAGAGTCTGGTGCTCCTCAAACTGGAATTGAGAGTTAGGTAGGTACACCTTACTCCCTACGTCCTAGTTGAGCTCCCCACTGACGTGTTGGTCAAACCCTGAAGTCAAAGATTTGGAATAGAATACCCGAAATTCACCTTTACGTCCAGGGTACCCTACCCCCGCGCCTACAATGTGGACTGTTAGTAGAGGGAAAACGCGTCTTCCCCGCCTGGATTCTCGAACGCGCGGGCTCCTAGATAAGTTCAAAGGAGACGGGCCTGAAGGACAAACTGCTCTTGTTGCAAAAGAAGTTCAACGATACTGAATAGACCTGAGTGGGCTCAGTGAGACCCGACTGGCTGATTAAGGAAAGTCGCGGATCTGATCATACAAGAAGGCTGATCTGACATTGATGTTGCAGATTACTTGATTGAAAGAATGATGGTTCAACCGGGCCGCATCAACTCCAGGCTGATTGCCCTCTGATCTCGGTTGTTGAGGCCAACTGGTCACATTTATCAGTGCCTATACCCCCCCCCCAAAAAAAACATTCGGACGGGAAACTAATAAACTCCACGATCAACTTCCGGATCTGGTCAGATTTCCACCCCCCTGCTTTGTTGGGAGAATCCAGTGCGGGGCTGGTAAGGACCGGACAGCCTGGAAGATATTGGGTCCATTGGGAATCAGAGTAAGGAACGACAACGGCGGTGGACCGCTAAGTGTAGCATGTGATTTTATGTGTGGCGAGCTCACCTGGGTCATCCAAGAAGTGGACATGGATACCTAGTCGACTTTGTCATTCTTGCGGAGAAGAGATCTCCTTAACGTACTAATCACTAATGTGATGCGTGGGGCACAATGCGGAGCATTCGTTGGTGCATGTTAAAGTTGGTATCGCGTTCGGAAAATGGCAACATCGTGGACTTGGTGGAAACTGATTCACGTTGGATGTAAGAATGCTGAAGAACGTAAAACTTCATCGAAGTTTACCGAGGCTCTGACGCAGAGGCAGGCGGATGACCAATTGCACCCGAAAGCGAGTGGGCTAGAATACCAGCTCATATACAGACAGTCACCGTGGGTACAATTGGACTGAAGCAACAACGTACGCAAGATCGATATCTGCCTGGATTCATAAGGACAATCTGACTTTCGTCGAAACAATCCAAGATCCAAAAAAATACAGTGATTCGAAAGCAAATAAGAGTGGCGTACCAGGCGAGACGAGGAGCACCATGCGTTTCCGTTGTCCCGAAGAATTCTTTACTGAAGTTGAAGACAGAAGCATTTTAAAATTTTGTTAGCTGTACTAGCCTCTCGGTGCCAAACTGCCATGCCACCCGAAAGAGGCACGATGGCTGGGATAGTGCCAGGTCGCCCAAGCCTAGACAGGGGAATTCGAAAGGCAGAGGTTGGGTTTGAATCACGGACCTTTCGATCAGTAAATTCATGCTGTAACCACTTCAGCCATCTCGCCCCACTGGAAGACACTCACGGACCAAAATACATCCAAGTGAAATGCGAACGGAATCACGCGCTCTGTTTACATTTTGCATGTTCCATCGACGTCTTTAAGCTAGTCAACGCAACTACCTCAGATCGTCCTAGGAAAACTGCAGACAAATTTGCCAACCTCGTCGATACCCGTTATTCAGTTTGGAACGTCCCCTGGCCACATCATTGCTATATGAGTCCATGATCCGTGCAGTTTGAGGACGATCGCGATTCATTTCCGCCTTCGGCTGACTACGGCGTTCGAATCAGCGACGTCCTTTTGGACCAGTTTGAACCAAGTATCAGCTGAATGTGAGGTAGCCTGCTGTATAGATATCTGCTACGAGACAGCATGCTATTCGCAGTCTTGGTACCTGACAACGAAATGAACTCACAAAGTACAGCGACCGCCGTCAGAAACATTTCATACCGTCACTATCGTGTAGTAGCCAAACCTGGACATGTTCGAGTTCTCGACTGAATCCCCTTATAGTAGCTGCGCAATATCCTTCGCATCTGAACACCAAAGTTGGTCAACTGAAGAGTCCAGCTCGAAATCGGGAGTGTCCGATATCTGGAAGACCTTGAGGTGATTTAAGATAACTGTAGCCCCCAAATCTACATCATGAGTTCCCCGTCACCCGACAGAATGACCTAGAAAACAGCTATCCACGCGGTCTTGAAGTGCTTTGGACGTGACTCTGTACAAGTGAAAGGATAAACTCCAGTTTATCAGCAAAGCGGTTATACGAAATTAAGAATCTCATCTGCACAGAGTTTTGAAAAATGAACCTTCTTTAGCGTCCTCTTGAATTTTCCTGAACGTTATTTGGATATGAAACAATAATGAACGAACACTGCAAAGCGGTGTTAATCTTCACCTTCCATCAAATGCGGGACACAGATTGGACACCAAACCAGACACTACTCGCATGCATCATCAGTAGCATATGCCGTCACACCAGTAGTTGATCCTTTTCCACGTTTCATTCAGAAAGCTTCTCACTTGTATGCTGTTTGCATATATGTGAGGCCTAGAATGAAATCCGCTGGCTTGTGAACCCAAGATAGAGGGCCAATCTCATAAGCCAACACGGATCAATGTACCCCACAGTGACCTGTCCGTGTGGGATATAATGCTTTGTTTCTCTCTCTCTTTGTCATGGTAACCCAGCTTCTGGACACTGAGGGGGAGGGTTGACACTCCGTGGTGTTGCATTGTGTGATATGTACGCACAGCTGACTATTCTCAACCCAATGATATGATGTGGAATTTCAAAGCACACCATGTGACCATGTGGTGTAAATGATATTTCCTTCCATCCGATGTTGAGGCGATCGCCGGTTGCGAAAGAGCAAGTGGAATACACATCAAAACTGCTGTATTCCTTTTTTCCAAACTGCTAATCATTTTCTCCGCTTGTAGGCCGAATAGGAGTTAATAGTCGGGATCTGCAACCGCGTGAGGGCTCCGAAATGGTCGGGGGTTGTCGGAAAGTTTTTAGCAACCTTATAAGTAGTAGTGTCCGGTTGAGAAAAAGTTGGATTTCCTATTTGTGTAGTACCATTCAGGAGTTTACTTTTTTGTTGTTGGTCTACTTGGCGGCGGATTCGCAAGTGTCTCGCGAATGATTACTATTCGTATGCAACTCCGTGAACCAGAAACGTGACTGCTGTACGCAGACGTGCAAAGACTGTCAGTGTCCTCGACGCCTCTCACGTATCTACTTAGAACATCCGTTGGGTGATTCTGAAGTAGTTCAAAAGGTTTTAAGGGGAACTACCTTATCGCGTTAGGTCAGCTAGTCACATAGTCCGTGAATTTTTCTGGTCAAGTCACTCACAGGTGGTCAATCCACAAATTTGCAGTCAACTTCCACCTCTTTGTCCATAAGGACCATAGCTGTTCGTTTGAATTCATCTTCTCTGACCTATTGGTAAATCTGGTTGTGCGCTTACAAGCGCTGAGCATCTGATTTGGCTTATCCTAGTTGAGGAATCAGAGCAATGTGATCTTCGCAGAGTGTGGCACCGTACGAGGCTTTTGGTCGAACTGTGTTGGTATTAGTCTGGTTAATATCAGGAAGCAGACTAATCCGACCGGTTGTCTGCCTAGATTCATCATCATCATCATCGACAGCATTAGATATTTGTTGTCTCGGCCATTTCGCATCTCCGTATGACAGCTGCTGCAAGACAGCATTCGACTCGTTTCCAGTATTCTTTCGTGCATCGCCATTATCTAATATGCATCCACGTGCTCGCTAGAATATGCCGGTCAATTTTTACATGCGTTGTTCTGCTCTGATCTCTCTCTAAAGAGGAGAGAAATACGCAGCTCGATAGAAGCACGTTTTATATCCTTCCGGACTGGTATGTCAAAATCCGTCGTGCGTTGATTTATCGGGATTTAACCCGCAGCGAACCAGCAGTTAACCGAACGGTCGATTGCATGACCATTGCTTACATCCCAATCGGTTACCGCTGTGTGGAGTCGTTACTGCTCTGGTGATCTTGAACAAAACACCACTACACCATAGTGCAGCTTGGTACACTCGTGTCGGGCCTTTTCTCACAGTTTGTGATGCGTAACTTGGGTTTTTTTTCCTTTCACTGTAAGTGCTCCTAATGGGCTAATAAATCGTTAACCGTGTAAACTAAAAATCGAATACCTTACATGAGCTTTTTTGGTGATTGATGGGTAAACAGTGGAATGGGACGAGTTTGTCCAAGTCGTCAGTTGCGCACAAAAGTTGAGCTTGTGGACGAACGCGTTGGCACAGTTTTCTGCTCTACCAACCAGTGCCATTTCTACCATTGCAGTTTAAAACTGTGAAGCTTTCTTGCTGGTTACTTTTGTGTGATGTGCGGACAAAGGTGCTTGCATTGTTATTTCTCCTCCTCCTCCACCCATAGCCCATCTGAATCATCCACAAAAGCGGGTTTTCCGTATCAGTGTCCAGCGGACACTGAGGCAGTCGCTTATCCCGGCCACATTTCTAAAGACTGGATTTTGCTACCTCTGGGGACAGTGTCCCTCCCGTTGCAAAACAAAACCTACGTGTGCACATGCACTTTCTAAAACTATGCTGCGACATTTCGAAACATGAGAGGACAGGCATGTGTGCGGCATACACAGTTGAATAATACTAATAGTAAATAATCGTTCAGCTGTAGCACCCTTTCGGTGCCTAGCTGCCATGCTACCCGCAGGAAGCACGAGGGCTGGGATACTGCCAAGTTGCCCAAGCCTAGAAAGGGGAAGTCGAGAGGCAGAGGTCGGGTTCGAACCGTGGACCTTCCGGTCAGTAAATTCGCGCTCTAACCACTT